ACCTCCCTTCGACCAGTCCGCTCCCACAGAGAGGGCCTCCTTAGGGTGCCGTCGGCCAGTCAATGCCGGCTGGCGACCCCCAGGGGGAGAGCCTTCTCTGTGGCAGCTCCTGCCCTCTGGAATGACCTACCCCCCGACCTACGTACAACTGCGGACCTGCGCCTTTTTCGCCGAGCCCTGAAAACCCATCTATTCCATGTGGCCGGCCTGGCGTAGTCTTAATTATGTTTTAGTAAAGGTTTTATATGGGGTATTTTAGAGCAGGCCTTTATTTAATCTGATTTTAGAATAGAAATTTGAGTATATTTATTGTGATTTTTATTATTGCCTGTTCACCGCCCTGAGTCCCGTAAGGGAGATAGGGCGGTATACAAATTTAAATAAATAAATAAATAAAATAAATTATATCAGCAGGTCTTTGATTAGGCTGGATAACCTTCAAACAGCTTAGGGCATTGTGAAGACTGGCAGCATTAATTAATGCTTTAAGGTTTACAACTTCTGTATGTGGGAAATCTATGGTGTGGCATTTAAAATAAAGGTGTGGACTTTTGTATGATTTGTCTGAGGCCCATTCCTTACACATGATGGCAAATGCCTAGTAGGTGTATAATATGCTCACCATTTTGGTAGAGGGGATTCTCAGATATGGGAAAGAGAAAGAAGAAGACAACTTGTGATTTTTTTTCTCTGTGTCTCTTTGTAGTGAGCAGAAGGAAACCTGTAGTATGGGTGATAGGCACCAAATCTCTTGCTTGAATTGTCTTTCAATATTACAATACCTTGACTGATTAATGTCAAATTAGAACTGAGTTTGGCATGATCATAGTAATGTTGGTTCCTAATTTTGAGGTGCCTTCCACAAAAGCAAATCACAGTAAATATAGGAGACCCTGTTCTTTGCATAATGCTTCCTGACCCTAACTCCACATCTTTTGTAGAAGATCTGTTGCAACCATTATCTTGTTCTTTCTTTATCATGTGTTCTTTTAAAGATGCAAAATGCAGGGATTGCATTTAATGTATTGTGTAAATATGAGACTTTTTAACAAAATTTAAATGAAGCTGTTCACATGAAAGCTTATTTGGTGGGATGGGGAGGAAGGCAGTTGTATTGTCTTATCAGAGTTGAATAGAAATGGTTCCATAAATGATGATGTTGTTGTTATGTTTGGTGTAACTCTTCTGTTTTTTTATAAAGATGCCAGTAAGTCAATACATGTCTCTTGACCTGTGTATTATTTGTTCTGGAACTTCAAAAGCATACATTTGGCATAGATGTTTAGCCAGTGACCACTGTATGTGGAAACTTTTTTCTCGTATAGAGATAATTTTCATTTAATTTGGCAACATTTTCTAGGTCACTTTAGTTTTTATACCCATACCAATGAAAAAGTGTAGTCAAGTTATGTGTAGATGCTGAAGTATTAATGACTATATAGTTCAAACTTAAATGGCCACTATAGTATCCATTAATTCATGTATTTTTCACATTCATTTTGGACAAGGTTGGATAATTTTAATTTCATAAGAAATTAAATATAATCTGCATAATGGTGTTTTTGTCCAGGGTAAAATGAGGGTGATTTACTCTTGGCTCACCTATCATGAGAAGATTACAGAAAATCTTCCCTATATAAGTATTGTGTTTTACACTTCTTCAAATTTTCAAAAGTTGTTCTGAAATATTGGTCATAAAGGAGACACATTCAGCAGAAGTCAAATGTATAATTATTAGATATTGCTAGGACCTAAAAACCTACAAAATAGCTAGAGTGTATAGAGATGGATGTACCAACTATTTGTAGTTTTTATCAAACTAGACTGACTGAACCACTATTGACCAAGTGTTGGCCTTTAGATAGCCTCTAGGTGCTAGTATGAATTATGTGGCAAGAATATAAGCCACTATTGAAGAGACCTAGTGTGAGTTATACAGTATATCATTGAAGGCTTACATATATTAAATTAGAGTGAGTTGATCAGCTTTATGGGAAAATGCTAACATAAGATGACATTTCTCCTTCATTCTTCCCTGGTTTCTTGTTTTTTCCAGATGTGGCCCAAATGATGAAACTAAGGGATTGCTGTATTCCTTTTCAGCAACTGACTTTAAATGGTACAGTCAATATTTCATTACCAAGAGGGCTCACACTGAACACAGAAGAAATGAAGAAGCAATGTTACCTTGTGGTGACACTTTTCAAAGAAAGAAGTGATACTAGAAACTTCATAGTTGATTCAAATGAGTTTTGACAACTTAATGGATCTTGATATTAATCTTGCAGAAACTTTTAGCTGACATCAGGAAGTCAAATTAACTACACCATCTATGGGATTTATCTTAGATGTTAGTTCACTTATTCTAAGTATTTATTTGGGTAGGATAAACTCCTATTTCAGTTTTCATGATTGTATTCATGAATTGTATAGCTTTATTTGGTGGTACTTTTATGGACATTCCCTAGTATTAGGAAAACATTAATAAGATGTGTTTTCTTATTCATATCTTTCCAGAGTAGACTCTTAGTATCACAGGCATTATCTTTTCATTAACTGGGATGTCAGTCTAACATACATATTGATGGGGAATGGTTCTTGTTTTTTGTTTCTTTGATTGCCTGCTTATAAACTTTCTCACTGTCTTCTAAGCTTTATTTTGCAGCTGCCATTTTGGACAAAACAAAGGGTTGGAGAATTCTTTTAACGCATCCAAGATAGTACAGTTGGCTTTTAAAGCCATAACATACCTCTGAGTAGCATGGCTGAGGTGTACCTGCATTAAGGCCACCACAAAATAGCAAAAATCCATACTATTTATCAAAGTATTGCATTTGCAAAGTATTACAAAACTATTTTAAATCCTAAGGATTTTGTGTAAGGTTATTTGTAACCCATTTTTATTATATATAGTACTGTACAAAAGTGTTAGGCAGTTGTGCAAAATGCTGTAAATTAAGAATGCTTTCAGAAATAGAAGTGTTAATAGTTTATTTTTATCAATTAACAAAATGGAAAGTAAATGAACAAAAGAGAAATCCAAATCAAATCAATATCTGGTGTGACCATCCTTTGCCTTCAAAACAGCATCAATTCTTACAGTTGCACAAAGTCGGGGATTTTGTAGGATTAGGGTCAGGTGTATGATGAACCAATTATACCAAGCAGGTGCTAGTGATCATCAATTTCATATATAGGTTGAAATACAGTCATTAACTGAAACAGAAGAAACTGTGTAGGAGGCTTATAACTGGGTGAGGAACAGCCAAACTGCTACTAAGGAGAGGTTGTAGAAGACAGTTTCATGTCACAGGTCATACACCATGGCAAAACTGAGCACAGGAATAAGACAAAAGGTAGTTATACTGCATCAGTAAGGTCTCTCCCAGGCAAAGATTTCAAAGGAAACTGGGGTTTCAAGATATGCTGTTCAAGCTCTTTTGAAGAAGCACAAAGGAATGGGTAACACTGAGGACTGTAGATGCAGTGGTCGGCCAAGGAAACGTAATGTAGCAGATGAAAGACACATCATGCTTACTTTCCTTTGACATTGGAAGATGTCCAGCAGTGCCATCAGCACAGAACTGGTGGAAACCAGTGGGACCCAGGAACACCCATCTACTGTCTGGAGAAGTCTGGCCAGAGGTAGTCTTCATGAAGAATTTTGACCAAAAAGCCATACCTTCGATGTGGAAACAATGCTAAGTGACTCAACTATGTATGAAAACATAGGACGTGGGGTGCAGAAAAATGGCAGCAGGTGCTCTGGACTAATGAGTCAAAATTTGAAATATTTGGCTGTAGCAGGAGGCAGTTTGTTCACCCAAGGGCTGGAGAGTGGTACAATAATGAGTGTCTGCAGGCAACAGTAAAGCATGGTGGAGGTTCCTTGCAAGTTTGGGGCTGTATTTCTGCAAATATAGTTGGAGATTTTGTCAGGATCAGTGGTGTCCTCAATGCTGAGAAATACAGGCAGATACTTATCCATCATGCCATACCATCAGGGAGGCGTGTGATTGGCCCCAAATTTATTCTGCAGCAGGACAACAGCCCCAAACATACAGCCAATGTCATTAAGAACTATCTTCAGTGTAAAGAAGAACAAAAAGTCCTGGAAATGATGGT